AAAAAAACAACAACAACAACAACAAAAATCAGACAGGATACATTTAGTCTAGGGTCCTGAGATGTCTCTTCTTTTTTGGATTTTATTTTTGTCTTGTTGGATTTTATTTTGTCTTTTGTCAGGAATGGAACCTGCACCTCACACATGCTAGACAAAAGTACTCTGCCACTGAGCTACACTGCAGTTCTATTTCTTGGGACTTAAAAGGACAGCAAGGAGAGTGTTGAACATGTACCTGTTCGTGTACACAACTCTCAATTAAAGGGTAATAAGAGATAGTATATCCTGGATCCAAATATGAGTGACACATATTGAAAACATGGATTTAGGTTACCTGGAATTCCATGTTCCAACAGGACAGGTTTACGAGCATTTTATAATAAATGTCATAAGTCAAGGCCCTTTTCAAATATAGTGGTGGAAACATTAGGTAGGTGTGTTACAGCAAAATAGGGAAATCTCTGCTTTAGGCCTTAGATGCTACCTAAAGACATTCTTATGATCTCTTATACATTCCAGAGGTTTTTATCTGTTAGCCACGGGATGCTAGATCAGATGCTAGATCAGAGGTGGGCAAGGAATGGCTGTTAAGGGGGTGGGGAATGGCTAAAGACAGCCCAAGGTGAATGGTAATGAGGCCCTAGACCAGCAACATTCCAACCTCTCCACAATTACTGGTGCCTTAATCAGTTAATCAGACCTTTTCAGGAACTTTGGTTCACAAGAGAGAGTGTTCATAGAGTCCCAGGAGAGGACACAGGAAAATATAGTAATGCATGGGCATTAGAGTGGCGCATACTGGAGGCTTCCTGCTTCTGCTATTACTTATGAGACCTCATATACATTTCTCTAGTACCACATTCTTTATTTGTTAAAAAAAAAAAAAATGGAAACTATTTGGTCATCAAGAGCTACACAACTTAACAAGGTTAGGCAAGAAATATGGGTGAGATTCACATTCTGGTCCAGGAGCTAAGCCCTGGGCTGGACCACTGAACCCTATGGCCCTTCTGAGAAGCTGAAAGTCCAAGACCTGCATGCCAAAGCAGATCTGCAAACCCTTCCACCACCTGCTCACCCACTTCTATTGTGAACCCCAGGGGCAGTGTTTTTTCCTCTGCAAAAACACCAGGACTGGTTTACTCGTGACCTCTAAAGTAGGGAGCTTCAAATAACAATCTTTTCCAATATCTGATTGATTTATTTTTAACTATGTGTATGTATGGAGGTGAGTATGTACAGGTGGGTATGGTGTAGGTGCAGGCTGAGCTCAGAAGAGGGTATCAGATCCCCTGGAGTTGTGTAGCTTCCCAAGGGGTGCTGGGAACCACACTTGGGTCCTCTGCAAAGGCAGCAAGCACTCTTAACTACTGAGCCATCTCTTCAGCTGCTGAACAACAATCTTCCATTTGGATTCTATGGGGTTTTTGGAGTAGACCAGACCAACTTGTCTCTGTGGAGCCCTCAGGTCTGTGGTTATCAATGAAAGAGCTGATGTTGATGGTCTGGAATTACCTCACTTGGGTTTGTTTCCTGAGTTCTCTTTACCCGAGGACTTTATCAAGCCAGTCTGAGTTTGTGTACATGGTGGCCTCAGAGTACAAGACAGACAACTGCCAAGGTACCCTTTCTAAGCCTTTGCTTAGTTATTTGGCAGTGTGTGATTGGCCAGTTACATGAATGGCCCATCTTAAAAAGATGGGTATATGCATTCTCTCTCTGGAGTGGAAGTGGAGAATCTACTATCATTTCTTTTCTTTTTCTTTTTGTTTGTTTGAGACAG